CATACCCTTGCTAAGTACGCTATTTCTTGTATCTAACTTATGCTTCATATTGAAGAGTACCTACAATTTATTGAACTTTTTTGTTCATTGCGAAAGACTATTTTTATTGTAGTGCACCTAATTAACTGTTATACAATTAAATCATCATCACCAAGAAAATTTTATAAATCCTCAACCATGATATTCCTCTTATTTTACAATTATTTGATCAATTTGAATCTTATTTTATTAGGGACAATTTCAATTTCTTGATCACAAAAATACAACCAAAAAGGGAACCAAACTTGCTTTTATTATACCCTTGCAACTTTGGAATTTTTTCAAGCCAGGACAAAACTATCAAAAACAAGAGTTAAAGATTAAGGTCCACCCCACCCACCCCACGCGCGCACAGACACTATTCATTTTTACTTGGTCCTTAATCTTCTCTCTTCATTTCTATTTCATTTTCTCCATCACCATGGCTTCCAAACTTCACAACCTACTCTCTTTACTACTATTCCTCTCCGCAATTCTTGATTTTCCGGCCACCACGACATCGCAAGAGTGTCCTTATCCGTGTTTCCCACCACCAACCGGCCCCGGGAACAACCCTCCAGTTGCCACAACACCACCATCACCACCAGTTCCCACCACTACCCCACCAACTTCGTTTCCTCCTCCAGCTTTCACCACCCCTCCTGCTGGTGACTTACCATATAATCCTCCATCACCTGACTCTTTTAACGGAGTCACGCCACCGCCACCCGAGCCGATAGTGCCGTGGTTTCCATATTATTACAGAAAGCCACCTCATCAAGATCAGTCATCATCGACAGCTCTGAATCAAGGATCAAGAACCACGATCATCATATTGACTCTACTTTTTCTTGTTTTTTCTACTGTTTTTGTCTGACTTTTCTTGAATTTTCATGTATTTAAGAGTTTTAGATGATGATATAGTACAAGAATCCTTGTAGAATATTATGTGTACTGTTCTTTCAGAAATTAAGGTGAAATGTTTTTGGGATGATGATCAAAGGGCCGTAGTGTGATGACGATCATGAGAACGATGGGTCAACAATCTTGTGGTTTATGTTTCGTATTGTAGTTTTGATGAGAGTTTTCAAACTAGTTGATTGAATAATCTTCTTGAATATGCATTTTAATTATTAATCAAGTTCAGACCTTCTATAATTATATATG